TATGTTTATAATCTGGTTATTATCACTTTGACCATGTACAGTGGCTTTGTTCATACTTTGGACATGACCTTTTAGTAGTTATATACTCCTTCTAAGTATGAGTTTTTCTGGTTTTACTTTTATATAAAGTTGAAAGCCTTTAGATTTTGACTTTATTGTATAAAACAAGTTGGGGCTTTTCCTGTAAAGGTATGCACCTTTTTCAGTTTCTATTAAGTGGTTGATATTCTTGAGTAAAGATGTTGAGAAGCCTTTTTATTCCTTTAAGCAAAGCATCATCTTTTGTGGAATTCTTTTGTGCATCAGTGTAGATGAACCATGAATACTGCATATATTTCGACTCGAAATTTGAGATTTTTTTTTTCTTTTTAAGTATTTATTTTGCATACCTTCACTTTTTAGCATATATGCAGTAATGAAAGTTTGATGACTTGAAATAGATCTTTTTTCTGTTCTTTGTTTTTTGCTCGGCTGGACTTGAGTGGATCTTCTTTTGGTTTCATATATCAATTCTGCTTAAAGTTTTTGGAGCAGTTGAAAGGTTACATAGCTTGGTTTTCCTATTAAAACTGATTCCATCATTTTTCTATGAGTAATTTTTGGCACATTAATAAATTGAGAGTTTTTTCTATGCATGTGTATACATGTGTTTGTAATCTGGTTAAGTATCAGTTTTGCTCTAGATCGGCGTTGATTTGGAGGTTGGCCATGTAAAGTGGCTTTGTTCTTGTTCCTTCATTCTTCCAATTCTTCATTGATTAATTGACAATGAATATGAATTTTAGGATATACTCCTTAGTAATGATACTCTGTAGTTATTATGGTTTATTTCATGTATAGTAGAAGGCCTTTAGATTTTGATTTTTCTATAAATACAAGTTGAGGCTTTATCTGTAAAGGTATGCACCATTTTCAGTCCTCATTAAGTGGTTGTGGTTCTTGAGTAGAGATGTCGAGAAGCCTTTTTGTTTTTCTAAGCAAAGCATCCTCTTTTATGAAATTTTACCTGTGAATACTGCGTACTCTACGCCTAAAACTTTCGACTCTGAAGTTTACATGAAAGTTTGATGACTTGACTGGAATTTTTTTGTTTTGGTGAGTAGACATGCAATTTCTGTATATCAGGCAACTGTTCTGTTGCTAAGGTTGTGTATCTATAGAAATAAAAAAATAAAGAAAAGATGTTTGTGTTCAAATAAATTATTATGTCCCAAGGATATCTTTAGAGTCATAACTCTTACAGTCCGTTGGCTTACTGATAAAAAGTAACAATAAGCATAAAGTGCTGAAAAATTTGCTTCTATCTCTATTTTTGTTCTATGGTTTTCCCCTTTTTGTAGCCATCAAACAGATGTGCATTTCCTACTATTTGATATGTGATTGAATCTAATGTCACCAGAAGTTCGTGTTATTGCTCCATCGTCCCTTCTCCTCATGACCCCCTCACCCGTCTTGTTAAATTGGGGATGCCCCATTTTGTTTATTTTTCACCAATCTTATTGTTATATATGGTTCCTGACATGTTTAACTCTTGCAGTCTGGTTGCTGCAAGCCATCAAACGACTGCAAATTTGCCTATGTGAGCCCGACCAACTGGACCAGGACTGCAAGTTCATCCTCAACCAATCCAGACTGTGGCCTGTGGAACAACGATCCAAATGTCTTGTGTTACGGCTGCCAATCCTGCAAAGCCGGGCTGTTAGACAATATCAAGAGTGACTGGAAGAGGGTAGCTGTACTCAACATCATATTCCTCGTCTTCCTCATCGTCGTCTACTCTGTTGGATGTTGTGCCTTCAGAAACACTAGGCGTGACGATTCTTATAAGCGTTACCCTTGATAGTGTTACTTCAATCTTATAGTGCTTTCATGATACCCTTTTGGTCAGTTGTCCTGATTTTTGTCGCGTATTATATGGAGTAGAACATTTAGTATGTTCATGTACAGAGTATTTGTTCGACTTTTGTTGGACTAGTTGATTACTTTGGATATATGTGAATTCATACTAATACACGAGTTTGTTGTTTAGAATATGACAATTGGTTGGAGAAAATGAGTGTTTTGTTCCTTGATTAAATCATGAATTCGTGGAATCTTACAAACAGTTATTTTATTTGGTATGGTGGAGAATTTGGTGTTTCTTGATTTGAACTTGTGAATGGTTGGTTGAGACTTGACAGTCAAGAAGAAAATCTGATCATCTTTAGCTTGTGACAATGGATATCTTCTAAATGAGGCAAAGAAGTTAATGTCTTATGGCCGTTTGTTGTGTTGGAGATGGATAGAGACATGCCAATTGACAGTAGTACCTACCATTTACAATTTGCTATTGTTTTCGTTTATTTTTCTGTTCTACATATCTAATCTGAAGCAAAGTTCCTCTTAGAATATTTTTCATGAATTGCTTTGTTCACTCTTCATTGTGGGCATTTTGTGGGGCTAGAACTGGAACAATCTAAAGGGAAAACAGTTGTAATGACTGTGCATAAAGGGTTGAATAAAGCACAAAGACCGGGGCTCTTTTAGAAACACAACATAATTGGATAAAGAGAGTAATTGTTGGTGCCACTCCCTAATTCACAAAGATGTTTATCTTGGTTATTTATCATCAAAAGAAAAAAAAAAGAACCTTAGTAGACTATATACATTTCGGCTAATCAATGACTCAGATGGTTACTCACACTGTTGAAGCAACAAATAATTAAGTTGATCAAGATGATTGAATTTCCAAGATTTCATATCATGTTCAATGAACGACGCAAAGACAGATGTTCAGGGTAGTTTGCTAGCTGGAATATAGAATTCACGATTAATGAGTTGAGAGCAAGTGAAGCAAGTAGCATGCCGCAACAATATATATCGCTTGTCGGAGCAGCAACTTACCTAAAATCTATATATTTACCGTTTTCAGGACAACTTTCTATGGTGATCACTTTAGTCGCTATTACTGATATATATCGCTTTTTAAATAGCGACCTACCGAAAATTTATATTTTCATCACAGAAAAAAACATTTTCATTGACGACCACTCTAGTCGCCTCTAAAACTGGTTCTATATGTCGCTTTTTCTGACCTACCTAAAATTTATATATTTATCATTCTTAGTGATGGCCTCTAGAGTCGCTGCTAAATATGGTGCTATCTTTGCCTAGTGACCTACCTAAAATTAATATATTTATAACTAGAAAGACTATCTTAGTCGCCACTAAAAGTGATGTCATATGTTGCTTTACGAAGTAGCGACCTACCTAAAGCTTATCTACTCAATGTTTCCAGGACTCTATTTATCGCGTATAGACTTTATGAGTGTGGTGATCTAACCATAAAGGTGAAGTCGGGACCTAAAAGATCGAACGAAACAATACATAGCAAATAAATCCCTTATGAATTCCAAGGCATTCCTTTAATTATTAAGAATTAGGGAATTTATCATTCAACGGGAAATAGATTGCTCAAGATTTTCTAATTTGAATAAAGAATTAATAGAAGATGGAATCACTGAAATCTTATTTCGCTAGTAAAAGTGGTTGTATGTAGCTTTATAAATTAGCGACCTACCTATTGCTTATTTGCTAAAAAAAATTTAACTGATGACTTTCCGAGGCAACCGAAAATATCGAAAAAAGTAGTTGATTTTGGCACCACCAACGCCGGAGTGAACCTCCTTGAACATACACCTCGACTCCTCATCTACAACAACAACAACAACAACCAAGTATAATCCCACTTAGTGGGGTCTGGAGAGGGTAGTGTGTACGCAGACCTTACCCCTACCCT